CAGAAGATGAGTAACTCTCCTTTTTTTCTTCTCCTGCTGCTGTTTGTAGTTTCACTGCTGTGGTCTGTTCAGCTACAAAGACTGGGAGAACATCCCCGACTCCTGTGTGTGCAGCCAGGAGGAGGAGAAGGAGGGCAAGTGTCAGACTGTCAAAAACAACGTAAGCATCGATGCACCCACTCGCTTCACTTCTATTCAGTGTGTCACAGTTTGTAACGTCTTTATTTCTTAACTTTTCCAGACTTTCATGCTGCAGAGAAAGTCCATCTACACTAAGGTGAGCGACCCAGCACCATTTTGAAAAAGCTTAAATCATTTGTGTGTCCATGACAGAAACTAACAGTTTTCATTTTTCCTTCTATTTTCAGACCTGCTTTCCCACCATCATGGACCACATCCAGTTTACTAACAAAATCAACATTGTGGTCAGCTTCACTCTGGCTATTCTAGCTGTGAGTATTATCACTTATTTAAGGATTCAGCAGCATAAATGGCTGATCTATAACTTAAAATCTGCATTCTCCCCTTTTAGTCACTGTTAGTCACTATTTATTATTCACATCTAAAATTAGGGTTATAACTTTTTGTTGACTGTGAGGTCCTTAGACCCTGTGCCACAGTGGGGAGAAATTCAGCTTTTTTACCATCAGGCAGAAATGTTTTTGTGGTCAGATATTGGGAGTCAAATCTGTTTTAAAATTGTTTTCAGCAAAGTTTGATACCCCCACGTTTGACATGCTGAAAAATTATAGCATCTGTTTCTGAACAAAAAGGAAACTAGTACAAAATCTAATTCCAAAAAGTAAAAAAAGAATTTAATAACATTAAAATTTAACCTTAAATAAAACCTGATGCCTAACTTATCTTCCTGTGTTCCCCAATAGCTCCTTGGTGTGATTCTTTCCTCCATCATGGTGTACCACCTGTATCGCTTCAACAGCCTCACCATGATGATCCTCACGAGACCACCAAAATACAACGAGATGTGCAAACCTCCACCATACTAGTCAAAGTATGACAGAGTTTTTTTTTCTTTTGCTAGCTTGGTGCACAGATTTCTGGAGCCCTGTCGAGTCTGTTTTCTTGAATTTGAAAATGACATATTTGGTTGAGGTTTATATCATTGTGCCTTATGTCTTCATGATGAAGTTGTCTAAATTGAGATCATCAGTTTCAAGCGACTTGAAAAATGATACTTAATAAGCTTAAATTGAAATGAAAATGTCTAAAATTTGACTCTTTTAATTCAACCTTTATCAGAAATCCTTATTTTCATCACATTAACAATGAGAAAATGTCTAAAAAGGAAAAATAACTGAATCTAGCGATTTCCAAAGCTGAACAGAGGTGATGGCTTACAACACCAGCTATTAGCCACCTACTATGCAGTCTTGAGACCATTCCCAGCCAAATTATTGCTCACTGACACCTTTGACTCATGTGACCTGTTATGTTTCTAGAATGCAATGTTACTGTTACTAATTCTGTTTGCGATGGTAACATTTGATGAAATTAAAAGCCACATTCCTTTTCTATCTCATGTGAAGTTTCTTAGTAATACAAAGACAGTTAAGTTATATTTTAAAAACTGAGAACTGTGTTGATGCAGCTACTTGTAAAAATGTTTATAAAGGGAAATATTTTTGTATATTGTTTTGGTATTTTTAGTGTCTTCTTTGTGTCATGTTTGATTCTTCTGATGTAAACTGTAAATCTAAAGGTTTTACAGGTTTAAATGGTGACAAAAGAAAGTCTGTGTCTGAGTGAAATCTTCTTCTGTTGTACAAAAAAGGAACTTATTCTCATTGCATTTTTGTTGACTGTTACTAGACAAAGGTTATAGTAGAACTTGGTGAGCTGAGAAGCCTGCAGTCTGAGACTGAACTGCTCTGTTAGCATAATATGTTATGTGAAGTCTTTAAGATATGATCCTTCTCATATTTGCGTATAAACTTTGAATTTAATTGAACCATTAGAGAGACGCAAATATGAGAGAAATAATAAAAAACAAATAAGTCTATGAACTCAATCTTCAACATCACTACGAGACACGATTCTTCAAATTTTAGCAATATTGTGCAAATTAATGTGTTTAATAAGTGCGCTGAACAACATATGCTGGCAAACAAGAGATCTACAATTTCTCACAGTGTTATTGGACCCATCTAATTGCCATCTAAAGTAAATATCTGGTTAGAGATCCTGTTTCCAAGATTTTTATTACTGAGTGCAATAAACCTCAATTTATGTCTGAATTTAAAAGTAGGCAATTAAAAGTGAACCAGATTTTTTGTGATAAGCTTTTAGTTTAATCTGCAGAATTCTATATTTGGCTTCATAGATAAATACAGCACGGTGTCATCTGCATAGCAATCAAAATTTATGCAGTTTTTTTCTAATTATATTGCAGAAGGGATGCACGTATGCTATAAAATGTATTGATCCTACCACCGAACCCTGTGGAACTCCAATACTGAGTTGATGAGCCTACCGTAAGAGGCCATAAGAACATTAATAATAACCTTCACTAATAATGTTTCTGTGGTGCGAGGAACTCTGTAGGTAAAAGTAAACTTAGAAATTGGTCTATAATTAGCTAAGATAACTAGGTCAATTTATGATTTAATTACGGCCACTTTAAAGCTTGTGATGCGTAGCCTGTTCCTAAAGAGAGATTAATCAGATTTTAAATTGAAGTCTTGTGGCAAAATTTCTTTGAACAGTCCTGTAGGAATGTGGTCTAAAAGGAACATTGATGGTTTAAAGGAAGAAATCAGCGAAGGTAATGTAGAAAGATTTATAGAAGGGGTTAGAAGGGGTTAGTGGGGTTCTTCCTTTTTTCCTCAAACAGTGACAAATAATAAGATGTAGAGTAGCAAATTATTTTTCCAGACCAAACAAAGATCTAAATGAGTACAATCCCATAATCCTCTAAGGATACAACCCCCTAGCAACGCTTGTTAGGTTCAGTGAGCCGTGACTCCTGCAGCTGTAGCTGTCCTCTTGTGATTCTTCCTCTTGATAAAATTGTTAGGTCATATGGGGGACAAAAAGAGCCACGTGCATTTTAAATGTTGGAAATAAATCTTTATTGTTTGAATCCATTTACTTATTTTTCTTTTTTCTATTTTAAAAAGATTTGAAAATCATTTTTTAAATTTTGAATTTGAAATGTGACTCAACACATTGAGAAATCATTTCATATGTAATTCATTATTCATTTAATTGATAATGAAAACTGTATTTATAAATCGATATTTCAAAATGTATTATTAATCCATGAACACATGCTTTGAGTTGAAAATGAATTTAACAAAAAAAGAAAAAGTATTCAACTTTCAATAAAAACCTTATTTTTAAAAAAGAAAACAAAAAAACCCCACTTTCTTTCTTCTCCTGCTGCTGTTTGTAGTTTCACTGCTGTGGTCTGTTCAGCTACAAAGACTGGGAGAACATCCCCGACTCCTGTGTGTGCAGCCAGGAGGAGGAGAAGGAGGGCAAGTGTCAGACTGTCAAAAAAACGTAAGCACGCCACTTCACTAAAAAATATTTTGTTGCCTCAACTTAAAAAAGTAAGGTAACAATTTCCACTCAGCTTTTTAAGTTACAAATTTTGCATATTATTAAGTAAATTCAGCAAGTAATTTTTAGGTTTGGCTAACTCAACTTGTTTAACAAACCAACATGATTTACCTTGACCTCCACAAGCATAATTAAGTTTATTCAACCTATTATTAATTTAAAATTTCTGGTAAAATTAAGTTGAGAAATTACATTAGTTGAGTTACACCAACGAATTTTTTTACATATATCCTACTCACAATTATCCATGCCAATTAGTTTAGGTTTCTATAGCTTTTCTAAAATCATACAAAGCCATTTCACTTATTCCAATTGATTATTTTATTACAAAACATTTCCAAAGTAATACACTTCTGTGTCAATACAACATAAATGAAACATTACAGCAGCCCTTTAATTATAAATGACTAAGAAAAAAAAAAAGTACTTCATGTACATTAACTTAAATTGGTATCAACTTGTTCAACTTGTCGCAGAATCAAGGAAATGACAAAAGATTTTAATGTTCAACAACGGAACAATCCAAAGCTAACATTATATGTATTACAAACTTTTCTCAAAACTACACTCATCTAGGACTGCATACAAAAACGTAAGAGGCACATCGGAATACTACAGTCCAATTCACATTTGTTTCTTTCTTTTTTTTTTCTTTTTTGGAAAAAAAAATTCACATTTATTTCACGACAGAATTTGCATTAAAGCCAGTAGGGTGAATGTTAACCATCAAGTTTCCAGAAATACCTTCTGGAATACCTCTAGAGCAGGGTGGGCAATCTCAGTCCACGAGGGCCGGTGTCCCTGCAGGTTTTAGATGTGTCCTCGAACCAACACAGCTGATTTAAATGGCTAAATTAGCTCCTCAACATGTCCTGAAGTTCTCCAGAGGCCTGGTAATGAACTAATCATGTGATTCAGGTGTGTTGACCCAAGGTGAGATCTAAAACCTGCAGGGACACCGGCCCTCGTGGACTGAGATTGCCCACCCCTGCTCTAGAGTGTTCTTTACTTGTTTTGGGTAGCTCAGATTGAGAGCGTATATAAGCCCCATCATTAAGGCACACGCTCTGGGCACATCAAGGTCTTCCAGACTGCTGCACGTCTTGTGACTACAACCTTTACCACTTCTTCTGGGAACTGTTGTTCACCATCCTGGCAAGTAGGTAGTTTAAATGGAAACATGTCAGCATTTTATGTGCCATTTAAAAATAAAACACAAAAGAATGCGAGATTCACCTACCAGCTGTTCTCTGAAGAGATCCTCTTCCTTCTCTTTCAGATACACCTTCAGGCAACGGATTGCGACCTCTCTCTTCATTTCCACCGAACTCTGGAGAATAAAAAAAGCAAAACAAAACTTAAACTTACAGTTTATTAGGTGAAAAGTCAAAACTATTACATTTATGTGACTTGCATTGTGCCAAATATTGATTTTAAATATGTTTTTAAAAGAAATAAAGTTTTAATCTTTGTAACTTCAATTTAAACTGTTACATACTGGCCTGCTTTAAATGCACCCTTTGCGAGCAGTAGGATAAGGTGAATAAAAGTAAATGTAACCTAGGGACTATTTCAAACTTTTTGTTGAGTTGTGTTCTAAGGATTAAACTATAATTGTTATGTGTAAGATATGCGAAAAAGTACCTGTGGACAAGTCTTGTAATGATGTGATAAAGCAATAAAAGCTCCTATCCACCCCGTTGTAGGTCATGCCACAGGCAGGCTCTGCTGTGTCCTTCGCATCCAGCTTTCCTAGCTATGACCAAAGAGGAATTTCCATCAAAGCTATCTTCAATCTAACTCCTAATTCGATGGCTCCGTAGCCACCTTTCTATCTCCCTTTATATAATGCAACTATTGTAGTAAGTGCTATGCATAGGATGGAGTTGTACAGGGAATGATTTTGATCAGACGTGAAAGGGGAAAATGTCTGAGGAAGCTCCCGCACCTGCTGCCGCCCCGGCCAAGGCGGCCAAGAAGAAGACGACGGCTTCCAAGCCCAAGAAGGTCGGCCCCAGTGTGGGCGAGCTGATTGTGAAAACCGTGGCCACTAGTGATGTGCGATACCACTGATTTCCTTTCCAATCCGATACCAAGTAATATTCAGGGTGGTATCGACAATACTGATCCGATACCGATACTTTGTACAAAAACTTATTTTATTTATTGTATCTAAACAATATGAAAATGTTTTTTGAAATGAAGACTTGAAAAGAATTTTAAAAATCAGTTTATTAAATTGGAATTCAAAAATGAATTTACAAATACAGATTTTATTCTAAATTCATTAATTAAGATAGAATTTTTTATTTATCCGTGGTGTGGGTTCCTCCGGGGTTTTCACACAGCTGAATAAACGTCAAACAGAAAACTGATTAAACAGAAGTGTGAGACGGTCGACAGTTTAAGTCAGCGCCCGGTTATATTTTAGATAGCAAGGAGCAGACGGCAGAGTTTCACTCCACCGAGGGAGCTCATGACGTACTACCCGGCTTTCTTTAGACCGCGAAGGCCGGGTCCTCAGGTGGAAGCAGCCTCTGAATTTGGACACCCCCGCTGTTTCCGGGCCGGCCAATAATAACGGTGACATTTAACGTATTTTATCCGATAAATAAACACTGTAAAATGTATTTATCACCCCCCCCCAACAGCCCTTTTGAATGTCTCCCTAATTCTGAGGTCTCAAGGTTGGCAAGTATGGCCACAACACCTCACTTTTTTGCCACATGTATCGCAAACCACGTCTCAGCTGTTTGTGGAGGTAAAATACGTCCGCACAATTACGCTCAGCCATTGTTGTGAGTGCGCGCGCCAAGGGGCTGAGACATTTATACAGCCGTATTTCGCACATGACTATGAAAGGCGGAAGAGGAAGTAGTTCCTTTGAATGTAGACAATCCGAATGTTATAGTTTCTTTCCACTGTGTTCCTGTTAATGATAAACTACAAATTTACCTAAATTACTAAAATATCGATATTTTAATGTGAGAATCGATTCTAGAACATAAATGACTGGTATCGGAGGAATCAATATTTCAGGATCGATCCGCACATCACTAGTGGCCGCTTCCAAGGAGCGCAGCGGCGTGTCCGCAGCCGCTCTCAAGAAGGCTCTGGCTGCCGGAGGCTACGATGTGGACAAGAACAAGGCCCGCATCAAGAGCCTGGTGGCGAAGGACACTCTGGTGCAGACCAAGGGCACCGGGGCCTCCGGATCCTTCAAGATGAACAAGAAGGCTACTGAGAGCAAAGCCAAGAAGCCGCAAAGAAAGCCGCTCCCAAAGCCAAGAAGCCCACCGCGGCCAAAGCCAAGAAACCGGCAGCAGCTGCCAAAAAGCCCAAGAAGGCAGTAGCAGCCAAGAAAGCGCCACCAAGAAGGTGCTCAAGAAGGCTCCCGAAAGAAATCCCCCGCCAAGAAGGCCGCCAAGCCCAAAGTCAAGAAGGCAGCCACAGCAGCCAAGAAGAAGTGAGCTGACACCGCTCTCACACTCAACAACGGCTCTTCTCAGAGCCACCACAGCAACACACAAGAGCTCCTTCCTCTCACTCACTCACCACTCTGTCATTCACAATAATGTCCATGTTATTAAAACACTTTTTTTTTTCTCCATTGTCCTCATTACAATTACAACTTGGATTACTATCATGGTGCACATTAGTGCTGTCTAAGCAAGTCTACAACTCCAGAGGAATACAAATATTAAACTCAATATTTACAATCATACCTTCATAGTACAAGACATCACACCACTTCTTGTTTTACTATGTGACCCTATCATACAAGAAATACACCTTTAAAAGTTATCACCTACATTTTAAAATATTCTGTTAAAAAACAACAAATGTGATGGAAAATATTATGTTTATAGATGCATGTTATTATCTATATATGAGATATGTTTCACTTATATTTTTATTTTTTGTAAGCCTACACTAGCTGTTTTAGTGGAAGTACAATGTATAGTTTATTGATACCTAGCCAATATAATCCACTTGAAATGCTTTACTCAACAACCTTACCTGACTAAATCTAGGCCAGTTGAATTGATGTTCGGTGATTTTAAGGACACACATTTTACTCCAAGCTGAACCCAGACAGCTATTTTATTTATTTCATTACTAATTTCATAACCAATTTGATTCATGTACATTTGAACAAATTGAGTTCTGTAGGGTTAAGGATGCGAGGAAATCCATTATTTCAAAAATATAGTGTTGAGGTGTACTTCTTCTTGACCTCACCGATCCTTTTGATATCCCAGCTTAAGAAGAGTCGGGGCTGGCCTGTGTCCCCCTCAGTAGTTTTCCACTAATTCTATTGTTCTGTGGGGGGGGGGGGGGGGGGGGGGTTGTCCTCTCCCCAGGCTAGTAACTAACTCTCATTTTACGACAGGCAGACCCCCACTGTCAATAAATTCTTCCCAACACGCCAAAGTTTATAGATAAGCCAACTGATTTGGCACGTTAGAGGTCAGGGTTCAGCAACTCAATGTCATTCTTGAGAGCTTTAAGGTCGCATGAAATGCTTCGAGCACACAAATCCACTATTGTCCTTAAAACAGGGGTTGACAAAGTCATTCTAACAAAATCAACACTTACGAATCATTTTCTGTTCCTCTGATCTCCAGCTGCCCCCTATTATCTAAGCAAACCTAAGTACATTGTATTGTAATCATTGTTTTATTGTACTCACAATAGACACAAACCTAAGCGTAGACGTAAGTGACTTTGCAAAATGTCCCGAATTCAGTAGCAGTGCTGAACATGTCGCAAACAGCTCCACATTTTCCTCCCTCTGTACCTGGATAGTTCCTGCAGCACCAAAGAACTCCACCTGTCCCGCTCCTCCTCATGTTATGATTTCCTATTGTGTTTGACAAGGTTTGTGATCTTGCCATATGCGTCATGTACCACGTGTAGTCTGTTTCCATGAGCGTAGAAACTGCTTTAATTATCAAGCAAGTGAACCATGATGAGTGTCTACAGTTGTAGTTATGAAGCTAATAATTGGTGACATCCTATTTATTCTAAATTAGTAAGATGAGCAATGAGGTTGAACAAGGCACAAGCCTTAACCACTCAGGAGAGACAGAGCTTTTTGCTTTAGTTTTATTTTGACTTTATATTAAGACCGTCTATTCTTGTCTTGTGAATAAAACAAACACACTGCTTAAGCACTCATGATAGTATATTATGAAGGTGGATTTCAGTCCCTGACTAAGATAATATGAATGAACATACATTTCAAAATAAATCAAGATGCATAATCTACATATCCTAGTTACAGACAGTAACAGCAAGAAGAAGGTTTGCTCAGATAGAAGTGTGTGGCTCTTAAAAGAGCCTTTGTTTTGGTGAAGCCGAGCGCTTTGCGTTTACTTGGCCTTGGCGGGCTTCTCGGTCTTCTTGGGCAGCAGCACAGCCTGGATGTTGGGCAGCACACCACCCTGAGCGATGGTGACTCCCCCCAGGAGCTTGTTGAGCTCCTCGTCGTTGCGCACAGCCAGCTGCAGGTGACGTGGGATGATACGAGTCTTCTTGTTGTCGCGGGCTGCGTTGCCAGCCAGCTCCAGGATCTCAGCGGTCAGGTACTCGAGCACAGCTGCCAGGTAAACGGGGGCGCCGGCTCCCACACGCTCCGCATAGTTGCCTTTGCGCAGCAGTCTGTGGACACGACCCACGGGGAACTGAAGCCCGGCACGGGATGAGCGAGTCTTGGCCTTAGCTCTGGCTTTGCCTCCGGTCTTTCTTTTTTTTTTTTTTTTTTAACAACTTTATTTAAAGTAAACAAGTTTACATATAAAATGCACATACACATACAATTACATATACAAAACCATGAGCACATACAAAAGGGATAAACAAGGAGGAAAATCTAGCATCTGAGTCCACACAACGTTCACAAGACTTACAGTTTTAATTCGTTCCAGGGGAAAACTTTCCCAAGTTTCAGGTCCATTGTTCGTCTTCTTCGCAGGTCTGTAATGATATGTTTACTCACCACATCACTACTTATCATCTTTTGTTCAAGTACTCCTTTGGCACGAGTTTTCCAAATATGTGTGTTTATTACACACATTACTAACCAAAAGAGTCTCCTTTTGTCGTCACACATTTTAAGAAAAAAAAAAAAAAAAAAGAAACTACAACTGTGATTGATGACGTCAGGTGTCATCAATCACAGCCCCCCCAGCCACATGACTGCCCCCCACCACCCAGCAGTCACATGACTGCCCGCATGTTGGATCGTCGGCTCGCTGGTTGGGGTCCAGAAAGTGATGTGAGCACTTTGGACAGAGCTGCTCTCACTTCTACAAACCTGGACAAATGTGTTTAAACATAAACGAGACCGTCCACGGCTGCAGTGTGCGAGCACTCACGGAGACCAGGTAACTTCAGCGTGGACTGTTAAACATCAGGTTCTTATGAAGCCCTACGGAGCCTCGCACGGGACTGTCCAGAGCACTGTTAGTGAACTTAACCAAGACTGACAGGGATGACTTTGTCCCGGACGGCTGGTGTAATGTGCTCATAGTTCAGGCCAAGCGGCCGTGTCTTCCATCGCGGTGGTTGTTTCCGAGGTCTCAGTGCTGACCTGGAGGCACGTGGACTTAAAAAACACTCTTGCAGGATCTCACACCGCTTCAGTTCTTTTCTCTAGTGGACCTTGCAGGGCTCCGTAGGAGCTCGTTTCCTGTTTGTGCTGTAAAGAGAAAACTGCACTGAATCACAAAAATCGCTTTCAGGGATGTTCCAGATCAGACCTTCACACAGTCATTAGGGAGCGTTTGCATTTTAAATATATTAACCCCCAACCGGTCACAGCAGATGCCCCGCCCCGCCCTGAGCCTGGTGCTGCTGGAGGTTTCTTCCTGTTAAAAGAGAGTTTTTCCTTCCCGCTGTCACCAAAGTGCTGCTTGTAGGGGGTCACATGATTTTGGGGGTTTTCTTTACCTTACGATATAAAGCGCCTTGAGGCAACTGTTGTTGTGACTTGGAGCTATATAAATTAAACGGAGGACTAGCGCTATCAGAAAGATTTCATAAATCCTTATTTGCTATCATTTTTGCTCCAGCAGTTGAATGATGATGGAATTTGGTAACAGAGTTTGCAGTGGCTGGGAGGAACAGACTCCTGCATGAGAGTAAGAGGGCTTCAGGGGGGATGACATGACCTAAATGTATCCTGGGACGACCACATCGACAGGAGGGACGAGCAACACAGAGGCTGCAACAAGAAGGTGATGAGGTGTTTGCTTTTCAGTCACTGCGGTGAGCTCGGCTCACACCAACAAACTGAATGAAGGCTGCCTCTGTGCTGCAAACTGGAAGCTGTGGTGGGGAGCAGGGCCCTGAACAAACTGGTATCCATCATAGATGATGTGCACCAACCTCTGAACAGGCAGTGCAGCAAAGAGACTCAGCTCTGCTGCCACACAGGACATCATTCAGACACACAGCACGTGTGTCAGGCAGAGCTGCAACGATAACGATCTGTTAGATTCAGTGTTTCTGGAGTTACAGTCTTATTTTGAAAGCAGTGTTGTGTGGCTCATGCTGGGAGCTAACACACACAGACCTCTGTGCAACCTTACTGGCTGCTTCTTTCAAACGAACACATCTATACAGGGACGCGCAGCTGTTGTTTGCAGATCTCACAAAGGCTCGATTCATTTTGTGGTTTTTTGCAAATTTAACAGGACTATTAAAAAACACCTGGTGAAATTTAAAACGCAGCTTTCATGTGAAAACATTTCTGTAATGTTCAGATCTGTGTGCTGTTTACATTAGTGCAGTGTGTGGCACACACACCTGTGCTAGCAGACTTACAGCACCAATCCAGCAAACAAACCTTTAATGTTCAGTGTTTACCCACCATCATCATCATCATCATCAGTTTCCCACACTGAAAATAATCAAAGCAGGAAGTGAACATTTGTTTCGCTGCAGCATCCCAAAGTAGGACAGACCAACACGTGACGTCGACAGCAGCTATTTATTAAAGAGTTCATCACTGTTGTACAGTCAACACACACACACACACACACCGCTCCCGTTGGTGTCACGTGATCTTCACCATGATTGTGGGGGTCCGTTCATCACACCAGCGATGTCACACCTGCACAATCACAAACAAACACGAGTGACCGCCCTGCAGACATCAGTCGTCTCCTGACACCATCAGCGCACTTTGTTTTAAAGGGAACTGCTCCTAATGAGGGAACCAAAATAACCAGGATCGATTAGAGGTCCTGAATGTTTGTTTTCCACTGACTGCCCACCCCCACTGATCACGTGACTGCACACTCAGGGCAATCACATGAAGCCAGTGGGCTGTTGTTGCAGGTTTTCGTGGCGTGCTCCGAGTAGAGATGCAGTATGAGGCTCCACGCCTCCTTTACCAGACTTACCATGGGAGAACTTGCACTGTTTGAGCGCCTCGTTGAAGCCCTCACAGAGAGTGAGGTCTGTATGGTTGGTGGCACAATCCAGAAACTGTTTGACTTCAAAGTGACAGGGGCCCGGCTGGGCTGGAGCAGACCGGGGGGGCTCCTGAATGAGAGCATAAAGAAACGTCACACTCGTGGCATTTCAAACCACAGCAGCTGCAACATTAGAGCTGAGGCATGCTGGGCGTTGTCTGGGCGGCATTTCCAACCACCTCTTACCTGGTATGTAGCTTTGGCTGGTTCTGGACTGCTGCTGCTGCCCCCACCGAATGCTCCCGTGAGGGCGCTGCCAACCACGTGGCCCACAGCTGAGCCAACAGCTACTCCTGCAGCTGTGGTAGCCATCTGGGCCATGAGTCCTGGACCCTGGGACTGAGCAGGAGCTGGGGCCAGCGAGGCCGGAGGTGCATGAACAGGAGCTGGAGCGTGGGATGGAGCTGGGCTACAGACAGGAGAAAAACAGTCATGCAACACTGCTGTGAGCAGGACAAGAGCTCCCAGCTGCTGAACGCTCTCTGTTGTCGCTGTTAGTTTCTGAGGGTAGGCTTCACATCGGAGCGTCCTGAGAGAGGACGCTCAGAGTTAGCAGGTTTGGAGTTGGTTAGTATGCTATGTGTGGATTTGTGATACGTCATCCGTCGCAGACCAAGTTCTGTTGCAATTCAAATTCCCAGATGTGCTCCGGCTCCTCCCGTCCTATCCAGGATGCATTGATGGTGGTTGCCTGCGTGGACTCAGTGCACCCAAACATCCCAGAATGCATTCAGTCCAGAAGTCACTTCGCTCATTTCTAAATGTTAGTGTTTGGTTTCTTTGCTCCTGACTAAAGTTCAGCTTCATAACTGGATCATTTGGAGAGGTGTCAGTACATGTTGAACTGAATATTTCACCTGTCATCTCTGATGTAAACTGTGCTGTTCTTATTTCAACAGCTGAATTCAGGCTAACATTAAACACATTTTAGTTCAGAGATGATCAAATTATGTTTTCGATATTTGTATAATTGTCCGAGCTCAGAGCTGTTAGCTGAAGCTGCTTCACTCACCTTTTGTGACCTTTGTGACGCAGAAAAATGTCAGCAGTGTTTCAGGCGCACGTCACCGTGAAAGTCACGTGTACGGCGGGATCAGCGCTGCGTTTGCACTAATGCAGCAGCAGCGCTGAGATATTAACACACAGGTACTGTGACAGTCTCACCTGGCTGGAGCCGAGGGACGGCTGCGGCTTCCTCTGGCCATTGGAGATGATTTAGCGGACAACGCAAAGCCTGGACACGCCGACCTGCTCGCCTCTACACCGGCTCGACTGACCTTGTGCAACTCGCCTGTAATCCCCCCCAAAGAGTAACTGGAGGCAAACATCGCGAGATTTAGGCGTTACTTTAAACTCCCGTAGTGTCTCCTGGCGGGGAGGGTGGGGGAGCTGCACTTCTTGGGTTTTTTAAAGTTTCATTGGAGGTTGGTAAACAGCAAAACGGCGCATTAGCGCCATCAGCTGGTATGGGGATGATCCAGCATGTTCAAAACCAGCAACACTAAATCTCAGCTGCTGACAAGCGTCCATGGCTGCAGAGCTCCGTTTGCAGCAGCTCACTGAGATCTGGCCAGTGTTGGCCAAGTTACTTGAAAAAAGTAATGAGATTACAGTAACGCGTTACTGCCCATCTCTGGATCTGGCTGCCTCTTTGTCTTCTTGTGGTTTTGGGTCACTTCAGTGACGCCTGTCCTTCGCTCATGGGTCACAGGGCCCTGAATGAAAACTGTGCTGCTCCCTCCCGTGCGTCTCATTTCTCTGTGTTTGCTGGATTTTCTGAAACCATTGTCCTTTCCTTTCTTGCTCCTTTCGTTAGAGTTTGTGCTCTGATGTCTGAGCTGCAAACTGACCCGTGGTCTTGTATCGTCGTCCGGCTGCAGAGCTCAAAGAGCCCATTGCTGATCCTTTTCCCTAATCTGACATGAAACTGGGACAATAAACGCTGTGTGTGAGGCAGTACAGATGTGGACAGAACTGTAACACTGGTCCATGTCTGTGTGACTGTGTGCCGATGTAGAAAAGAAGCAGTAATGGAAGATACACCCCACGGCAGTGCTGCTGTCTGGGCGACTGTCCACTCACAGCTCTGTGCTTCTCCTCGTTTTCACAGGTTTCTGTAGTTTGATGTCATAACCAAGGATTTCATCTTTTCATTCTGTCCTTTTACAGCTGTTCACTGTTACACACAAATCATGAAAGCAGCCCACCGACAACCCGTGCTACAGCTCGTGTCACTGCCCCCTGATATCAGCATCACCCGTGGATGCATGGTTTCCACTCCACGGTGCTTCTCGTGCTGTTGTGAACACTGGTCCGTGACTGCAGCGTGGGCTGGGCTGGCTGTGTGCTCTCGTGCAGCAGCGCGGGGAGTCCTCTCAGCTCTGGCTGTGGTGAGCGCTCACAGGCAGTACCGCCCCTGACCGCAGGGGGCGCTGTGTGCTGATCGCCGGGGTTCCTTCTGGAAAAGCTCCGTCGACGTTAAAGCTTCCGAAGAGCGTCCGTCCTGTGAGCCGAGGTGCAGGTGGTGGTCCCGGGTTATGCATGTCAGATAGCAGCAGTAACAACGCACAGGCTCCGCCTTCTGTGAGAGGGCCGAAGGTCTGAAGATGTCTGCCGCCGTGGACTTCCACTCTCAGATCGCCTCCATCATGGAGGTGCTGGCTAACGCGGCCGTGGCGGAAATCTGTAAAGTTGTGGACGATGGATACGCGGTGGTTCACCTGGAGATGTCCCGGAGCCAGAAGGAGAACGAGTTCCTGAGGAGGAAAATCAAGCTGCTGGAGCTGCAGATCGCCCGGTACCGAGCGGAGAGGGTGAGGGGGGCAGAGGGCTCCATCAGCAGCCGCTTTCCCGGGGTTCGCCTCTTCAGCCGGCAGAGCAGGGACTCGCAGGCGGGTATGTAGCACCGGCACCGGGTGGTGAAGCATTACCGTCATAGGACAGGCTGGCAGACACGATCACGACGCGGAGGGAGGGCAGTGTGCCGTGACTCAGCGTGACACAGTCCACTGGGCACTCGGTGATTTTCGTGTTTGGCCGCGGGCCTGTCCTGTGTTTGGAGCGTCCTCCTCTGTAGCTTGGTGGACTCGAGTGTCAACGCCACGGCCTTATTATATCCAGGCGTACTCACACCCGAGGGATATGTTTGCAGTTCCACTGTTTCTGTGGGCTGATTATCGTGTAGTCCATAGTAAACACACCTCTGACCTCTGACCTCGGTGCCCGAGTCAGCGATTTCACTCCTGTCTCTGATTCGTTGGCTGCCACTGGAGGAGAAAAGTGTCTTTGTGGCATTTACAGCCGTAAACCTGTAAATATGTATACGTTAGTGATGGCCCGCTTGAAGCTGACGCTCCGGAGCGTGTGTCGAAAAAAACAACACACTGGTTCAGAAGCACTGTGTCGAGGCTTGCTTCGTTTGGCAAAAGTCACGTGACCAGTGACGTCCGAAGCTTCATTACGCACGTAACTGCTTCGGTACCTGATTCAAACGGATATAAGGAAGTGAATCATCCACGGGATTCGTGGAGTGTGTTGATGGTGACAGATAGCGACGAGGTGATCATTCCACTGACAGATCGAGCCAGCAAGGAAGAGAGGACGTTCTGGCGTGTGGGAATATTTTGAGTTGATTTTGCTCAATTCATTTTATCTGCCGAAGTGAAAAACCTGAAATGTCCAAAATCATGTTTTCATAATGTAAATATCATTACAGCATATGACTGTAGGAACACTTCCATGTGCATTAAAGCTAATATCAGAATTGTAATATTTCTGACTGAGGCAAAACTTTCCAGATTCCAATCAAATTGAATCGGATCCTGTATCGAATCAAAATGATTCTACAAATCAGTGACGATGCAGCCGTACTCAGCCCCCTAAGCATTTTCCCTTTCCAGTTCACAATCAATCCCACCCCTAGGTCAAAAATATGTATAGGACAATTGGTCTAATCTAATATTTTGTATGAACCTGTCCAGCTGTCCAGTGATTAAACGACAAGTAGATGGAGGCAGGACTTCACAGCAGGGGCATACTCCATAATGTGCTGTGCATTCTCATATGTATATTATATATATTGCTCACTTATTGTATTTACCAACATCAAGGAGTTATGAGCAAAGAAAGGCCACACCATAGTGCATGTTTAAATAGGGAAAGTTTATTGATCAAAATGTATTACGCAAATACGCATTACATTTTTTTCAGCCCCCCAATCGAGAAAACAAAACCAATTACATGTTCAAAGCAACGGAACGGTGGCCCAATATCAGAGAGAACTCCACTCTTGAGTGAGCAGTGATGATTGAGCAGTCCGTTTTATTTTGCAGATTCAAGCTGCTCTTCAAAATTTTCA